TATTGGGAAAGTCTTGACCCAAGTGGGGTGTCCATTTTTATTGATGAGGTGTTGGCCCAACAAGAATAATGAAATCGAGTTAATACCCAAAATTGTCCTCGACTATATTGATTTTTCTCAATTTTGTCCTAAACAACTTTGGTGTCATAAAGTAGTCCTAGACTTTTGTGTTATTGCTCAATATTGTCCTCCATTAGGTAATCCGTTAAAAGGGGGTTAAGTACAGGGATAATTTAGTAAATTCAAATGAGTTTTTTTTTTTTTTTTTTTTTTTTTTTTTTTTTTTTTTTTTTTTTTGAATGCAATTCAAATGAGTTAATACCTAAAATTGTCCTCGACTATAATGATTTTTCTCAATTTTGTCTTAAACGACTTTGGTGTCATAAACTAGTCCAGACTGTTTTGTTATTGCTCAATATTGTCCACCGTTAGGTAATCCGTCAAAATGGTGTTAAGTACATGGATCAATTTGTAATTTCAAATTTTGGTCTTCGAATCGTTCCTCTTTCAGGGTTTACTACGGAGATTTCCGTGCCGTTTGTTTGGGAGTCGCAGCCAGGAACTCCTAAGCACAGATTCGCCAACGACAGCGCCTTGCTCCACCCTCTGCTCACTCCTCCTCCCTCTTATTACTGCAATTCCAAAATGACGACGCCCGGAGCTCTGACCATGGAGAAAAAGGTGTTCCTAGGATCCATTCTTCTACGAGCTTTGCTCACCAAGGTAAGTCTCCGGAGAACCAAATTAACCACCGCCGTTGCGCCGTCACTCTCCCTCTCGTCGTCTTTCTCCTCCTCCTTCTCATCGTTCTCCGCCAAGCCCACTGTAACACCCCATGTTACGGCCCCTAAACCAAATTAATTAATTAATTACTCGGCCCAAAAAGGGAGTCAAAATCCATTAATTAGCAAAAAGGGGTCCACCATAGTCCATGGGCCCTTATCCCTAAAGCCAATCCCTTAGTCCTATAAGAAATAGAATTAGCAAACCCATACCAATTAGACCCTAATTGGGGCTCTTTTATATATATATATATATATATATATATATATATATATATATATATATATATATATATATATATATATATATATAGGGACATAAGAGACACCTAGACCTCACACCACAATAACTTTCACCACACAAGAATTCCCCAAGAATTCCCATAGGAGAAATCAAGAAAGAAGGAATCTTAAAGAAAGACCCTTCATAGCCAAGGAAATTAATTAAGGCTAAGAGGTAACCTATGTCTCAACAAAACCTATTTTCCTTGCTATGATCTCCTTCTTTGGCTCCCTCTATATACTTGTGTCTTGATAAATTTCTTTATGATATTTGTGATATAATCTTGATTGATTGATGTGATGATTTTATGTGGGATCTTGATGATCTTGATATTGAAAAGAGGTTCTTGATATTTATGTGATGATTCTTGATAAATCTTGATGGTTCTTGATAATGAAAATAAAATATGATTTTAATGATTTAATTGGGATTAGAGCCTTAGGTTGGATTGGGAATTGATATTGTGATATTCTTGATTTATATTTGGGGTGGGAATTTGCATGCTCGGGTGTTGTTCGTGTATAGAAGTCATGTTAGGATGTGTTCAATATAATTCTTGCTTTCGATCCATTAAATGCCTATGTGGTGTCGTTAATTGCGTTTAAAAGTGTCTAAGCATGATTCCTAGTTCCACGAAGGATCCCAGGACACATATTTGATAAAAGAGTTAGTGGGGGGTAGGGGTACCCGCCACCTACCCGCTGCCCAAAGTGAGACCGCCAGCCAGCGGGCAGTCGCCTGCCCGCCGGGCACCCGCTGCCCGGAAGTTGTCGCCGGCGGGCAGCCGGCGGGTGGCCCTCCACCCACCGGTTACCCGCTGATTTGTCACCCATCCCGGGTCTTTGGCTTCCCCGTTTGATGTTCCCCATTCCCCGTGGTGTCCCAACGGACCCCGTTTGTCGTGCTTGAGTCTAGTTTGATGTTTCAGGTACCGTTCGTAGGATAAAAGAGTCTAGGAATTGCATGCTAGTTGAATTGGTAACCCGTTGGCCTAGGCGGAAGTCATATCAACCCCTTAGGACTATTCTTAGTATGTGAATGATCACACATAAGCTTATTTATGTGTCTCCCCCTCCCAATGTGCTATTATGTGCTATTGTGTGTTATGTGATGCATGATTCCCCAATTTGGTTGCGATCAAATTGGCTATACAGGCAGTTGGATGGGTTGAGAACCATCCCAACTGTTAACCAGAACGGTTGCGATCGGTTAGGTATATAAATATTATATAGGGCTGCGGTCCACTGTTGGTTACTTATGAGCTGCGATTCATCCTCCTGGTTGCGGTCAGTGATTCACTTCTTGGGCTGCGGTCCACATGGGCCTCGGGTGCTATGACCCACCGACCTGGACGCGCCAGGCGGTGTGTAGGACCAATAAGCCCGAGGAAGGCTGTAGTCCACCGACCTGAGTAATCAGGCGGTGTGTAGGGCTACGGCTGGCTGCGATGCACCGAGTGATGGGCCAGCGGTGTGTAGGTCGTAGTCTCCGAGGATCATCGCCCACCGACTGAGTCCCTCAGCGGTGTGTAGGGCCTGATCCGCTATGACCCACCGACTGTGCCCGTCAATGGTGTGTAGGATCGTAAGTCCCCCCTTGTAAAGTGGATCACAGTCCACCACTGAGCGCGTCAGCGGTGTGTAGGACTGTGATCCGCCGCTGAGTTCGTCAGCGGTCTATAGGGTTGGTTGCGATCAACTCCCTTCATGCTGCGGTATGAGGTAGGGTGCTGCGGGACCGTGCTACTGCTATATGCACTAACCCTCATGTTCGGGGCATGCGATTGGTCCCGTGGCGCCACCAAAGTATGATTGTGTGACACAAATGATGATTGGATGATGATATGATTGATTTGAAAGTGAACATTGACCTTAGTTGCGTATTCCTTATGATGATTGTTTCTACTTAACTGTTATCATTGATTATTGTGCTTGCCCCTATTTGCTGAGTCTATTCCCGGTTTTAAAGCTAGAGTCTCTTAAGTATATATCTTCCTGCTTCAAAATGGTTTTCGTATATATATATATATATATATATATATATATATATATATATATATATATCAACGTGTTGGAGTGGGTTACCAGCATCATTCGCTGAACAGATATATTTGGCTTTCAGGCACCAATGAGTAGACCCGGAGCGCACTAGAGATTTGAAGCATAGATTAGTTAGTTTCCCTTTGGCCTGCGTGCCATGATTATGTATTGACATTTGTATTGAGGATTTTAGTTAGTTAGCCTGTGCATCTGAGTTCTCCAGCTCAGATGTGGCATAGCACCCCGCACTCTTATGTTTGATTTTGGGATTTAATGAGAATTCACCTTTACTATATAAGTTTTAAAAGTTTAAAAATTTCGGGGTGTTACATCCACGCCTTCCAGCATCCGCGATCGGCGAGCGCAACGATTTTTTGGCTTCAGCTCCTCCTTCGATTAGAAGACCTAAATTTGAAATTACTAATTTATCCATGTACTTAACCCCTTTTGACAGATTACCCCCTTTTGACAGATTACCTAACGGAGGACAATATTGAGTAATAACACAAAAGTCTGGGACTAGTTTAGGACACCAAAGTTGTTTAGGACAAAATTGAGAAAAGCCATTAAAGTCGAGGACAATTTTAGGTATTAACTCTATTGAGCTAAGGAGAGAATGAAGCATGGAGCAAATTGTTAAAAGATGTGCAATCAACAAGATTCAAACTCACAACCTCTCACTTAGCAACACACAATCAACCATCCAAACTACTCAAATCTCTTGTGTACTAGAGGGCGAGAAGCTCTAATTATGCATGGGAAGTATGCTAGATGCAAAGTAGTGGAGGGGACACGTGTATGGCCAAGATTGAAGACTAGCCGATGCCGTATATTTGTCAACCATCTAGAAGGCCTTCAACACTATATAAGGCACGCTTTCCTTCCATTAAAGATCATCCTTAAAATCATAATAACTTCCTTAGCTTGGTGGTTTTTGATTCTAACTTCTTACCCATACTCCAGGGTTCGATTCCAAGTAGCACTTGTATTATTTATTTTTTATTTGGGCCGCCGTTTTGGCTCAGTATCTCGGGCTTTGTACGAATTCATTTGGGCTTAACGCCCCGAGCAATAAACTACTTTTTCCTACCTCGTTCTGTACTTCTATACTCGGTTTATGGCGAACCTGGTCACAACAAATTATCAATTAATAATAATAATAATAATAATAATAATAATAATAATAATAATAATAATAATAATATTATTATTATTATTATTATTATTATTATTATTATTATTATTATTGTTGTTGTTGTTGTTGTTGTTGTTGTTGTTATTATTATTATTATTATTATTATTATTATTATTATTGCGCATCCAAATCATTCAAACATATTGATGTGGCATTCCAATCACCTTTAACTTGGAGGTTACCTGCAATAATAGGTCAAATGGGGTTAATTGAACTTTTTTTCCTAAGTTCAGCTGTCTAATTAAAACTTTTTATAGTTCAAGGATTTAATTACACTTTTATGATTAGTTCAATGGTTTATTTGACTCTTATCCCAGAATTAGATTGAAGTGATTCAAGATTCAATGAAAGGTTGAAAGAAATTAAAGATATACAATTTTCATGTTTAGAATATTAAAAATATAGATATTTAAAGCGAACACTGTACAATCATTTCATAGAAAATGAAACCCATGTCACCATGGGCAATGATCTGATAAAGTGGAGTGCATTAACTCGTATTATGTATTGAAGTTGGTAAAACTGAATTACAGAGAAGAAGAACGATACAAGCATTTATAGCCAATGGAGGCAGAGACGGTTATAACGGAAAGTCAAAAGCTGTGAAGTTACATTGGTGCCCTTCTACGTTTAGATCCTCCTTCATCACCCCCGTAAGCTGGAGCGTGCAAGTCTTGTATGCCCAGCTTAGAGTAGAAACTCTAAAACATGGTAGTAGGGAGGGACTTGGTAAAGCCATCTGCTACTTGACCGGATGATAGAATGAATAAGAGCTTGATCAAGCCTTGAGAAACATTCTCCCGAACAAGGTGACAATCAATCTCGATGTGCTTCGTCCTCTCATGGAAGACATGAATTTTATCAATGGCAAAAATAGATTTATTGTCACAAAATAGTACTGCTGACTTCTTCATTTCAACATGATAATCCTTCAACAAATAAGAAATCCATTTCACCTCACATGTAGCAGCAGCTAGAGCCCGATACTCGGCTTCAGAAGAGGATATGGAGATCTTAGGCTGCTTTTTTGACCTCCAAGAGATTAAGGCTGTGTCGAGGAATACACAAAAAACTTGTAACAGATTTCCGTGTGTCCAGGCAAGATGCCCAATCTGAATCAGAGAAAACACTAATCTGCAAATCACGATCTGCGGGATAGAGAAAACCTTGTCCAGGAGCTCCTTTTATATATCGCAAAACACGATGTGCTGCAATCAAGTGTTTATCAGTAAGAGCATCAACAATTTGACTAAGTTGATGGACAACATAAGCTATGTTCGGTCGTGTGGCTGTTAGACACAATAAGCGTTCAACTAAATGCCTATAGCTGCTGGCATCAGGAAGCAGAGTGCCATCATCGTGTTTTAAGGTGTGACTAGGTACCATGGGTATAGCTACTGCTTTGCAATCGAGGAACCTGGCTTTGGCAAGGATGTCAAGGGCGTATTTATGTTGACACAAGTTCAGGCCTAGTTTGTTCATGCAAATTTCGATCCCCAGAAAGTAACTCATCCTTCCAGATCTTTGATCTTAAAAACATCATCAAGAAAGCATTTTAAATCATCAATTTGCTGCAATGTAGGACTGGCCACCAAGATATCATCTACATAAGCAAGCACCACAAGAAAATTAGTATCATTATCCCTGGTGAACAAAGAGGGATCTGATTTCGATTGCACGAAGCCTTTTTGTAACAAAGCAGCAGTGAGTTTGGCATTCCATTGGCGACTAGCCTGCTTGAGTCCGTAAAGTGACCTCAACAATTTACATACTTGATTAGGTTTATTAGCTTAGAAACCCGGTAGCAAGGTCATGTAAACTTCCTTCGAAAGATCACCGTGAAGAAATGCGTTATTGATGTCTAGCTGGTGAGTATGCCATCTGCAAGAAGAAGCTAAAGCCAAGAAGTTTTGAATTGTTGTTAGCCTTGCAACCGGAAAAAAAGTTTCAGTATAGTCAATCCCCAATTGTTGTGTGTACCCCTTTGCTACAAGGCGTGCCTTATATCGTTCAATGGATCCATCTGCCCGCAACTTAATCTTATACACCCACTTGCATCCGATTGGAATTTTTCATGTTGGTAGAGAGGTTAATTCCCAGGTATGATTTTCTTGTAGGTCTTTTATCTCATTGTTCATAGCCTCCTTCCAACATTCTTGTTTCATAGCCTGATTATAGGATTTAGGCTCCTTCATGGATGTAATTGCCATGGAAAAAAACTTATGGGATGGGGAAAGACCATCAAAGGAAATAACCTTTTACAAGTGATGAGGTGATGATCCCATAGAGATAGCTGTTTCACAATAAAAATCTTGAAGTCTGTTTGGAACACGACGTCATCTAGTTGATTTTCTAGGCTGATCATGAACTATATCAAGCATTGGAGATGTATTATGGTTCTGGCACATCTGAACCTTCTTTTTGAATGCTGCTAGGTTCAACATGGATACTATCACCCTGTGGCTCACTGTGAGAGTAATCAGGGGGATTATTGATGGATGGGTCATCACCATGTGGCTGACAATCAAAGGCATCAGTTGCATATGGAACACGCATGTCAATAGGAATGTCTGGCAGGGGAGGTTCACGACTGAGCTCACAGTGGACTTCATTAGAAAATGGGAACTGCTCTTCATAAAAAACAACATCCTTGGACACAACAACAGATTTTTCTTGTAGGTCATATAACAGATAGCTTTTTATGTGAGCTGGCAAACCAATGAACACGCACTTCTTGCCTCTTGGAGCCATTTTATGTCTTGACAGAGGTAAAGTGGAAGCATAACAAAGGCATCCAAACACCCTCATAAAGGTGAGATCAGGCTCCTTGTTATACAAGGCTAGACCATTGTATAATTGGTGAGGGCAGCCTATTTATGATAAAGACCGCATGTAGAACGCAGTGCCCCCAAAACTCAAGATGAAGGGAAGCTTGAAAAAGAAGGGCCCTTGCCACAGAGAGAATATGTTGATGCTTGAGTTTTACAATAGCATTTTTTTGCGGAGTGTAAACACATGTTCTTTGGTGAATCATGGCTTTTTCTACAAAATAATCATCCATATTGAACTCAAGACCATTATCAGTTCGAATGGTTTTAATTAATTTTCCAAACTGTGTGTAGACTAAGGAATGGAATCTCTTTAGAAACTGCCTGGCTTGTGACTTATCTCTCATCAAATGCACCTAAGTGAACCTAGAATAATCATTAACCAAGGTTAGAAAATAACGTTCACCTTGCATTGAGTTAACATGAAACGGTCCCCAAATATCAACGTGTACCAAATCAAAGCAAGCATTAAAGGTTGTAGTGCTTAAGGGAATTGAGGAACATTTTTGTTTGGTTAGATGGCAAATGTCAAATGCAACTTCTTTTGCAACAGAAACTTTAATGTCTTTCAAGTAGTGAATCTTATTCATAGGGAAATGCCCTAGCCTTTTCTGCCAAATACTACTACTATTACAATGAATAACAAAGGTTTGATGTTCAGCAGATTTCTGAGGGGGTTTTAGTAGCACATATAGACCATTATTTTGTCTAGCTGAACCAAGAATCTTCCTATGAGCCCCCCGAATTATGCAATGTCCAGGCAGAAATATCAGTTCACAGCAGAAATCTCTTAGCAATTTACTTACAGAAATTATGTTGAATTTGAACGATGGTATGTGGAGAGCATCCTTTAGCCACAATCCATTGTTAAGTTTAATGTCTCCTATGTGCTTAATAGGTATGCCTTCTCCAGTAGGTAAGTTAACCTAAACTCCATTCATAGTACGGCAATTATCAAAGAATTTAAAAGCACAAACTATATTGTCTGTTGCACCGGAACCAATTATCCAAATATCATCACAAAGAGAAATAGAATTAACAAGTGTTTTAGAAGAATTGCCCTCTTCTATATGAGCCATCTCTTTGAATTCTGGAGCAAGAGTAACGGCAGCAGTGGTGTTAACATCAGTAGCAGAGGACTGTTTAGGCTGATTTTGAAGCAGGGAAATGAGTTTCTGCAATTGATCATTAGAGATTCTAATTTCTCCTAGACTGCTTGACACGTTTGCTGTACTCATCTGTTGTCTCCCTTTGGACTTGAATCTCGGCACCCACCCCGGTGGATAACCGTGCTTCTTATAGCATTTATCAATGGTGTGGCCACTCATTCCACAGAAAGTGCATTTTGCTCCTTTATTCCCACTACCATTGCGCGCGCCTTGCATTATATGTATTCATAGCAGCCACTACCTCATCAAAAGAGCTCTGGTTGTGGACTACATTAGCTTGAATTATCTCTACGTTTCCAGCATTCAGATTCACTAGATTAATCTGTCTCTCTAGTTTTTCAGCCATGACGAAGACTTTGTACACTTCCGGCAAAGGATCAAGGACGAGTACATTTGACTTCAAGCTTCCATAATCGTCATTGAGTCCTTGAAGGAATCGGATGACACGGTCTGTGTCACGTTCCTTCCTGATATTGTCAACAAGATCATAGGAGCACCTTGGATCACATTTGCAAACGGAAAGTGGTCGCAAGGTGTTTATCTCCTCCCACAAGGTTTTACACTTTGTATAATAGTCATTTACAGATTAATTGTTCGGTTTCAAGCCGTAGATTTCATTATGGAGTGTTGATATCTTCTGAGCATCACACTGTGAGAATCTCCTTCTGAGATCCTCCCAAACATCCTTGGCTTGATCTAAATGCATGCTGCCTGCTATGGATGAGTGCACTGATTGGAAAATCCAGGAACATATGATCAAGTTGTACCTTCTCCAAGCTCCATATTGAGCTTGATCACGAATTGGAGCTGGAACGCTTCCTTCAACAAAACACCATTTGTTTGTCACTTCCAATGCGATCCGCATAGAGATTCTCCAAGCACCATAATTCAAACTTCCGATCAGAGGAGGACTGACGAGCACTGTGCTCGGATTATCGGTGGAGCTAAGGAAGAGATGATTGTCTATCTCCTCCAGATTAGATGTAACACCCCACTTTTTCTAAAACTTAATTACAATTCTAAACCACAATTAACATAAAATAAGCAGCGGATAAACGACTTAATAAGGTAACTAGTAGGAATGTCACCGCCACAACCACCACTCCGTGGTGATTGCACAGGCTAAGGGTATAACTAGAAATAAAGATAAAATACTAACATTCATAAACTTAACCGAAAGTCATAAGGGGGAAAAAGACACCCCGAAGTCTACATCATCAAACATCATCAACAACATAAGTCTATAAATCCGACAATAGCATCATGATAAAAGACTATGAGTTCAGACTACTAGAGATACTAGACTAATCTAACTCGATCACCTCTCAAAGCTGGGCCCACCTTGAGAATCCTTGTTCTTGCCAACACCATTTCTAAGCTCATCTCCTTAGCTTCATCTTCTTCCCCCATCTCCAACTCTCAAGCAACCACAACAACCCAAAAACACATATAAGCTTAGAAAACCTCATCTTAGAAAACAAGCCAACAAAGGAATATGGAGAAGAAGAGATGAAATCTTACCAAGTCTTGGCCATAGACCTTGCTAGAAGAAGCTCTAAAAAATGATGAAGATAGGGAGAGGGAGAGGGAGTCACAAGAGTTGCTGCTGAATTGGAGAAAGTGAATAGTGCTACAAGGAAGAAAGCTATCCTTTATACTTAGGTTTTTGAGGGTAAAAATATAAGGATACAATTTTAGGGTTCACCTTCTATCATGGACCATGGGCTAGAATTGCTAATTAAAATACTTTGGAGTTGAAAATGAATTTTCTCAAAAAGTTTTCTAGATGAACACTTGTTTAAGGCTTCTCAGAATTCTCCTGGTCTCACTCAGATTGGTTTCTCAATTTAAAACTTGGTACGGGAAGTACCCGAAAATTTAGGATTTTGGATTAAAAATAAGTTTTGGTGTTGAATTAATTTAAAATGTGTTCAAAATAATTTATTCAAACACCAATTGATCGCAAAAATTTTTAATGGAGTGAAAATGCCTATTTTGGAATTTCTTAAAATTGAATTTATAAAATTAAATTTTGGGTTGTTACATTAGAACTTCTATAGGTCTGTGGAACTGAAGTTGAAGCGTGGATCAAAGATGCAGAGATCAGCGGCGCCTATTGACCTGGTTGCGGTTGCGGATTTAACTCGTCGGAAACAACGGTGATGTAGGAGCCCAATCGGGCGTCTGATACCATGATAAAGTGGAGTGCATTAACTCGTATGATGTATTGAAGTTGGTAAAACTGAATTACAGAGAAGAAGAACGATACAAGCATTTATAGCCAATGGAGATAGAGATGGTTATAACAGAAAGTCAAAAGCTGTGAAGTTACATTGGTGCTCTTCTACGTTTGGATCCTCCTTCATCATATCTATTGTAATTTTCCGATTTAAAGTATTGAATTGATTTCGATTTAATCACAATATTATTTTTTAAATTCTTTTGTCATGAACTATTTTATTATATTATTGGGCCATTAAGGTCATGCCTTTATGTCAATGACCTTGTGGTCTAG